CCTGGCTCATCTTCCATCTAACACCAGGCGAAAACAGGTGGTGATCCAAAAAACCACTCCACACGTCCAAACTTGCATTAAATTCCTTTCATCTGTGGTCACCATACTGGCTTCTGATCTAGCAGTTCCTCGACTTTATAATTCTCACTTGTTTTCAAACCCTTCCCTGGCCACCCCTCTTCAGCCCAGCAAATCTCTATGATCTTTGTTTCTTCTAGCTCAAACTTTTTATGCATCCTCGATTGTAAATATTCCACCATTAGCAGTTCTGCTGCTGCAAAAAGTCAAAGCTATGGAATTCCCACCTGCCCTCCTTTAAGACGCTTCTTGGTCCAAGCTTTTGGTCTTCTGCCCCAATACCTCATCTGATTCGATATTAAATTGTCTGATATTGGCTTGTGACATTTTATGATGCTGAAGGTCAAAAAAAAATTGAAGTAAAAAATGTTGAGATGTAGGTTTGCAGGATAATGCTATTACATGCAAACTTGGATTTTAAAGATGGAGGAAGTATTTGCGCTTACAATTCTGTGAAGGTGACTTTCTTTAAAAGAAAACTTAACAAGTAATTTTGAATAATTATCTAAACGCAACTTTCAAGAGAAAACATGACTCGAATTAAAGATTTAAACAGCAACCCCGAAAGTTAACCGAATGTTTACAAGAAATCTTTGATGACATACACAAAAACAGTAGACCAAGGGCCATGAGTAAGTTGAGTTCAGAAGATAAATCACTCTAGCAGAAGGTAGGATTTTTTAAAGAAAATGGTAGAAATTTCTAGGTGGTTAGAATTGGAAGCAAGTACCCTGGCCATCAGAGCTTCATAAACATTTTCAGCTGCCTCCACAATCCAAGGACAAAGCTTGGAAAGAGCTAGTGGAGTAATAAATTACAAAGTTAAGCAGCAGTGTTACTTTAGTGGAAGTGAGTGACTAAAGGATATTGCTGGAATGAGGGTGGTTTTTGTGTGCTGTTTATGTTAAGGTCTTTCTAAATGAACTTTGATCTTTTTCCTAAGATAATAAACTTAGTTTTAAAAAGGATATTGATAGCCTCATATGAATATGTTCAGTGACTGACCACTACAGTAACCAAACTGTAAGAGAAAATCTTACAACCAAGCCAGGTTTCACAGAGATCTGACTTGTCTGGTATTACCAACAGCTGGGATCATAAACTACAAGTATTCGTACAATTATTTGCAAGTGATCAAATTTTTCATTCTACATTTCCACATCCTCACTGAAAACAGACAGCCTTCATGAACGTCACGAGCTACACCCTTATGCCTTTCGGAAAACTTTAATGGTTCAGTATTACCTTTCTCAATATTGAGGTTTCACTGCAGTGAAACTTCATTCGGTACCTATACTCCAACCAGCACCGATCACCAAATTGCCATTGATGTTGTTTATAGCACCAAAAGGAAGTAAAATTGGATAATACAAGTACAGACTGAATTATGTATTTGCTTTCCCTCAACAATCTATTCCTTATCTCCCAATCCATGTTCATTTTCAGGCCACACTTTGTCTTGATGCCCAGGAGCACTGACAAGTGACCCAACCATTATAAATGATAGATTGGTAAATAGAAGACAAACAAATTGGTGAAAATTAAAATTATAAGTAGAAAAATCCTTATACACAAGGTTCAGGCATGTTTCAATTGTTTCTTAAACACGATTGAGCAGATGTGACATACAAAAGTGCAGCTGAATCTGTGTTTGGGAATATTAGTTTAAGTTTAAACATGAAGAAACCTTTGCCTATCTTTGCAAATAGTTAATTTATCATTTGTATCTAGAACTAGAATAGACAATGGACAATAGCTTAATGGACAAGTGATCTTCCACTTTAATTTCAGCCCTTCTTTGAAGCAAGCAGTTATGACCAAAATACCAATAAAAAAACTGAAGAAATATGATCCTCCCTTTAAAAGGCAGAGAAATTCATCCTTTTTGGAATGGATATGAATTGAGCAATTACGTTTTTAAACTGGAACATAAAACACAACTATCTTAATTTAACTAGCAGATCTTCATAATCCTCAAATTTGACTTCTCAAACTACATGAAAATGAAATAATCTCAGAAGAAATTTGCCAGAACAGAGAAGCAGCATAAATGCATTACAATCCAGAGCCACAGTTTTGAATTATCTTTCACACGTATAGCTGCTGCTCTGGTAATACAGAAGGGCTCAATAAATAGGTTAACTGCTGTCTGGATAAAATAAAATGCCAACCATGCAGGATTCCATTCAACAACCCTACAAAACAGAGTAAAGAATCCACATCTGACAGCATCTGTGGAGTAAAGCGAGAGTTAACATTTCGGGTCGACTGAGGGAAGGTCACTCGACCCGAAACATTAACTCTGATTTCTCTTCACAGATGTTGTCAGTCCTGTTGACCTCTTCCAGCCAATTCTGTTTTTGTTTCTGATTTACAGCATCTGCAGTTCTTTCAGCTTTATTTAACAAAGAATGCACATTGTGCCCTTAACTTCCCTATTCAGAAAAATAAAGAATATTTGAGGTTGGTAATGCAAATTGAAGCAGAGAAATGAAATTAAAAGCATGTGCAAAGTTATACACTGCCTGCATACAATTATTCAACAGCCAAATACCCAGCCACAATCCTAATGGATGGCAGAGCAGGCTTGAGCCAAACAGCCTAGTCCGTTCCTATTTCTTATAGCTTTACTAGTTTTCAAACTTCAATTTACTGAGTTGATACTGGGTTTAGTTAACATGATATGTAATCAAAAAGCAATAGCTAAAGCAATTGACAAATATTTAGAGTCAGAATCAGAGGTCCTACAACACAGAAAAAGGCTCTTTGGTCCATCAAGTCTTTGCCAATCAAATACAACCACCTAACTATTCTAATTCAATTCTACAGCAGTTGGCCAATAGCCTTATATGCCTTGGCACCATTGGCATTCATCTAAATACTTAATATGTTACAAGGGGTTTGTGTCTCTACCATCCTTACAGGCAGAGTTCTAGATTCCTACCATTCTACATGGTAAGATTTTTCTTATATCCCCTCTAAACTTTGCTTCTTACTTTAAAATTTACATCCTTCCTCATTTATCCCTCAAAAAGGGAAGAGTTCTTCCATGTCCATCCTATTTATCTATGCCCCTTATAATTCTATACATCGCAATCATGTTCCTTATCAGTGTCCAAGGAAACCAACCCCAGTCTAACTTCCCCTGCCCAGACAACATCCTAGCACATTTCTGCACCTTATCCAGTGCAATCACATTCCCCCTACAAAATGGAATCCAGACTTGTACACAATACTTGAGCTGTGGCCTAACCAACTTTTTAAAGAGTTGGTCTTCAAACTCAAATTTACAACAACTTGCATTAATATAACAGCTTTGAAGCTGAAAGGCACTTCATAAAAGCATATTCAGACAAAAGTTTAGACCAAACAAAACACTGAAGGGACTATCCAAACGTAGGTAAATTTCCACCCAAATCCCACCACAACATTGTGATTAAAAAAAGTACTCACTTTATATGTAATGTTAATATCAATATTGGATGAAAAAAGTTTAATTCCTTACTACCTATTTTTCAACTTTCACTATTTCTTTCCCACTAAAGGACAGAATAACAGGCACTTGTAGAACAAGAGTTTCATTTTTGAGGTGCAAGGGAAAGAAAAAGTTGAATTGAGGGTGGAAAAACCAGCAATAAGACCGAAGACCGGCAACAACATGGAAGACAACTGATGTCATCAGGTATATTTGGTGCATTGGTAACTGCTAACTAAAAAAAAAACAACCTTAAGCCAATAAGCCTTATTGTGGTCATACAATTCGCTTTATACCCAGCATCTTAATCAGGCAACAGTGATGCATACCACCGGCGTTAAAATATTCCCTTCAAGCATAAGGCGCCGAGAAACAAAAACATTGGTACTAATGTTTTTCGCAATTTACGCACTTTAGGGTAGTTAACTGAAATCTTCGTGTGAAGAAATGCAATGCCGTGGCGGAAAAAAAAAGAAACTGCTTTTGATCTTTACGGATAAAATACAAAGAATAGCTCATACGCGTTTTGCAAAGTGCATGAAACTATTTCCAGTAAACACAAAGAAAATTAACAATGCCTATAACTTAAAAAAAGACTCGTTAGCAAAAATAAAAACTAAGTGCAGAAAGAGAACAAAAAGTTTTACTGTGCAGCTAAATGGAGAGGCAGTATTAGCTAGATTAAATCTACAGATCATGTAGGGGTAATAGATGGGGATTAACATTATTGCAGACGATAGCTTTTTGGGTGGCTTCTTTCTCGATTTCAGCTCCTGTCATTACTACCTATGAAGCCCCTCCAGACTTTCTGGTATCAAGTTGACAAAACATCGATAAGAAAGAGAAAAAAAAACTTATCAGGTCCACAGCGGAGAAGTTTTTGTCCCTGTCCTCCTTCGACCAGGTTAAAGGCATAAAGCCTGAGGCCTATATCTATCACAATTATATGTGAAACAGGACAAATATATTTAAACCCCACAACAGATGGTCATTGCCTTACCTTTAAAGAGATAATCATACTCATCATCTCTGGTTCCCATTTTAGCGTCAATATAACCGGTTTCTGCCGGAGCGCAAACCTGCAACGACCGCAAAGATATCCTTCCTTTTTTTTCGGCGCAGGCACAAGCCCAACCCCTACCCGATAACCGGAAACTACAACCAACCCGCCCACCGCCTCACCCACTAATTGACAGCTCAGTGGCCAATAATAAAGCGGCGTGGGTACCACAGACCATAGAGATTCCATCACTATGGCAATAAATCCCGCCCCCACCCTGCACCGCCTGAGTGGGTGAAGTCATCCAGCCCGGGACCCTAGCCCCGCCTTTTGCTGGATCCTCTTCATCGATTGTTTACAAAAACTGTCAATTATAACAGTCTTCCGCAGCTGATTGGGTAATTTGACTGTCATTCATAGCTAGTCAGGAACACGCTCCTCTTCCGGCGTGAATTTTTTTCTCTCATTTTAAGGAGTAGGACTGTACACTGGGAGCGGTGATGTTGGCAGAGAGATGGGCCCAATGAACTATTGAACCAAGCCTGGGATCGTCGAGACAGCCGTTCCGAAAGTGATCACCCTGAGGTAATGCAAGAGGAATCAAGTCAGTGATTTTTTAAAAAATATTTTTAACATTAAACGTGCAGCGATTCTTCTCGTCTAACAAGGTGTTGTGCGTCACAATCCTGGGATTGGGAGTCTCTTGTTGGTTTTTTTTTGGTTAAAATGTCTCCTCAAGTGATGGTTTAAGCAGGCTCCCGAGTGAACTGTCACTCGTTCTGCAGCTATGTGGAGTGCAAGCATCAGTCAGACATCACAGCATCACAGCAAAGGACCCCCTTTGGCTCTGCTGTCACAACGCGGAGGAAATGGAGCACATCGTACAGTTCTTTGCATAACCCTCATAAAACTCCCAGATAAATTTAGCATTAACGCTTCAATGGCTTATTGTTGTTTTCACAATAGTGTGCATGTGTCTGGAATAATGTACCAGGTGAGTTGTCAAATGGCTCAGTAAGGTTTGGTCAGCAGTTCAGCTTGTTGGTAGTGGAGACCATATGGTACTGACGTGCTTCACGGTGGATGTGAACCTAGTGTAGTGTTTCATTTAAAAGAAACTGCCACTAATGAGCTATGATATCACTGCAACAAAATGTTTATGACTACTATTTCTCACCAATACTTCTGAGCTTAAATCTTCTTCAGTCTCTTGCTTCGTTCTATTGAATCATCATGACTTGGACAAATACAGAATAGGAAACAATTGAGTGTTTCCACATTAGCTCTTAAGTTGATCTGGAACTATAAATTATACTTTTAATCCTATGGAGTTGTCAAAACCAAAACATTTGTAACCTTGTGTTGAATTTGAGTGTGAGATGAACTTCTGACCACTTATAGGGCTAGCACGAAAGCTGCCTATTTCTTGCTCTAAAGAATCACTGGACTTCATCCCTGCCATGCTCACCTGCTGGTGAAACCTTACCTATACCTTCATTACTATTGACTATTTCATGTACTCCTGTCCAGATGCCTACATTGAAGCCTAAGGTGGGCTGTTACCTTTGATCTTACTCAAACTGTACCACCAGCTCATCATTTCTATGCTTGCTCACCTTTGCTGACTTCTGACTAATGAATATCCTGACTTATAATAATTAGTTTCCTTATGATTTCATCCATACCCATCTTTGTAATCTCTTCCAGCCCCATAGTGATCCTATATACTGGTGTTTCTGCAGTTCCAGCGTTTTGAGCTTCCTTAAATTGATTGCATCATGATAGTTGGCTGTGTCTTCTCTAGCCAATTCATAACTTCTGAAATTGCTTTCAGAAAATGCTCTAGCCTGCTACCACCTTCCTCCTTTTAAAATGCCCGTTAAAGATCTTTGACCAAGTTTTAGCTAATCACATTTAATATCACCTTACGTGGTTTGGTGTCAAATTTTGATTTCTAGCTAATTTCTCTGTAAATATGCGAGATCAATATAAATTATTTTTATTAAGCTGCCCCTCTCTAGTGATTATTTATGTTGCATTATCATTGACATGCTTAATTCATTTAACTTTAGGTTACTTGGCTTATTTTCTACCCAATATGCAAAGGAAAAATTAATTTATCAGCAACTGGAAAAGAATCATATATTATACTGTATTTTTTTTGTAATATATTGCTATATTTTCTCAATACTAATATCATGTGGCTATTTATTAAGGAAATTGTGTTTCTTTTTCTTTTCAGTGATAGGTTCATATTGATAGTTTTTATGTATAAATTTTGTTTAAATAAATAATTTGGTGTAGATAGATAAATAAGTTGTTGTGGTGGATTGTGCAATTTACTGAAAGCTCGTAGATATTTGAATGATTAAAGGACTTGAATCATGGACCTAGCTGCTCTGCATTTTCTTGTATCTACTGGGATTTTTTTAAAATTCTAATGTGTAATGAAATCCTCTGATCTTTACATCATCAGCTTAATGTAAATATTTTGAAAGCTGTGTTGTGTTGCTATAAATCTAGGTTTACAAAATGTCTTTATAGGATTAAAGGATACTCTAAAATCTACTTTACCTTACATATCAACAAATAATTTTTAGCTGTTTTCTCAAGAGAAATTAAACATTAGATATGGAGAAACTATCTCTGCCAGCAGGTGATTTGTAACCCAAAAGACAGAGTTAAGGTAATTATCTGAAGAATGCACATTATGGTATGGAATACATTGTTTGAAAGGATGGTGAAATTAAATTGAAATGTTCAGATAAGCTTTGAAAGTTACACTTACTGAGAAGTGGAACCAATTGGATAACTGTGATATGAGAAAATATGTGCTATGCATCTTTTGCCAAATCTAAAATCTGTTGTTTAATTTTCTTTGAAATTTTAGCAAAATATTCATTTTATAAGCTTAAAAGCAGAAACAGTGTTTAACACACTTTACGTGTGAATAACCTTTTAGGTACAAACATATATCTGTAAGATTGATGAATAGTACATGTGAATAACTGTTTGGCTCCCAGGAACATTTCTGGTTGCCAAGTAATTGCTGTTTAATGGAAAAATAGAGCAGACAAATATGTTCATGTGTGGAGAATACTGGCCCAGGTTCCAGATGTGTGGAGTATGGAAATTGTTTAATAGCCAGAACGCATTATCTGGAGAATACACAATCGGAGCAGTAGATAACAAATCTACCTTGCATGAGTGAGAAAGAATTGTAACTTGCTGTAAATCTCAAATCTGTCTGTCTCTATTTTCTCTTTGTCTCCTTATTATGTTTTTGTTCATAATTTGTTTTTCTCAAGTTAACTTTTTAATTGAGATTGTTTGTTCCCTTTGAAATTGTTTGTTTGCCTTTGGTCAGATATGACTTGCATGAGAGGTAGTATCTCTGTAATCTCTGTTACCAATAGACAACAAATGTATTAAAATGGGCTTTCTGCTGCAAAAGTTTAATTTTATGTAGCCCTGTTCTGAAGTGAACCATGGAACCAATGTTATACCTTGACTAAATCTATACAAATAAGTTGCGTTGCCAAATTTTGTTGGCTTCAGCCTTGGAGGAAATGGTACGTTTCCTGGTTCAGTTCTCTATATTGTGGTTTTAATAAACTATCAATTAAGAAGTAGTTATGATCATAACGACATGGATTTTTAAATTATAAGTATGGTAAAGTCTGTGAAGGCAATGGGACTTGAATGACTAAAAACAGCATACATATCCTAATCTTTTCCTAAATACTGTGGATAAATATTTCGCCTTCAAAAATTTTGGTTTTGATTTTCCACAGTGTATTTCCTTTCCTCCTAAAGTTTGCTGTAAACATAACAGACCTTATGCCTCCTGTGCAGAGAGTGCTGGAAATAGTGATAAACCTCTAAAAGTAGAACATTTAAGCCTAATACTACCACCTTCGTCTAACACACTGTCCATCACAACTGTGTTTTCCTAAAGATGACTTTTTTGCTGGCTCACTTCTGTGTAAAACCTCATGGAGAATATGTTTTATGAACTGACAATTTACAGGAATCGTTAGTCATCTACTTGGAACTCAAATGGAATCAAAATGTTAACCACTCTTTAATACACCAGTGAATCTGCTGTGCTTTTACAGAACTTTATTTTCAATTCAGGTGATGGTTTTGATCTTACAGTGATAAATTTGCTCCAAGGTAAGCATTAAAAAGAAATACCTAATAAAGCAAAATTAGTGTTTATGTAAAAGTTACCATAATCCTATCGATCCATGGGGCTGCTCTCATATTAGAGAGAGATGACTGGTGGTGGTTTAATCTGAGGGTCACCATGTCTCAGGCAAGGAGAGGGGTTGAGAAGGACAGTCCTTGATGGTAATTTAAAGTCGGCTGTTGTCATCGTTGCATCGTAAACTAGCTGTCAACCAACTGAGCTAACCAATTCCCTAGAATTTATGTACAATTTCATGAGTTCTAAAACCAACTGAGCAAGTATTGGTACTCCCCTACATTTTTCTCTATCATTCCAAACGTTCTCAAATATGAAAATAAATGCAATTATAATTGAATGCTGTCATTGATAACATATTGTCCATAATTTTAACAAGAATACTGCAAAAGGAGTATGGTAAATACTAGTTTGCATTTTTCCGTCCATTTAAACTTTTGGGAATGGAAAAGAAAATCGATGAATTGCTGTGAACTTTTCTGGGGATGTGGTGAACTGTCATAGAGTCATTACAGCCCAGAAACATACCCTTTGTTCCAACTTGCCCGCGCTGACCAGACACCCCAATCTTATCTAGTCTCATTTGCCAGCCAGCATTTGGCTCATATCTCTCTCAACCCTTCCTATTCATGTACCCATCCAGATGCCTTTCAAATATTGTAATTGTAACCGGAAGGGTTTAGAGGGATATGGGCCAAATGCTGGCAAATGGGACTAGATTAATTTGGGATATCTGGTTGGCATGGACTAGTTGGACTGAAGGATCTATTTCTGTGCTGAACATCTCTGATTCTATTAACATGAATCAAACCTGCTTTCACACCACGCATATGTTAAAGTCACATTAAAAGTGACCCTGAAAACCCAATATCTACTTTGCTATTGATGTCACTGATAACTAGTTAATGATTTCTCAACTGCTAATCAGCTTCCTCCTCTTGACTCTTCACTTTATTGATAATCGTTGGACTCATTATTTTTCCAAGATCTTAGAAAAACACAATTCTTAATTCCCTCAATTATTCTTTCTTCCTGCATGTTTTTAAAAACTAGCTATCAACTACTCATGCTTTCAATTTTTAAACCTTGTTACAATATACTATGACACTTTGTCTGTTTCTCAATTTTTCAAAGAGGCAAAAGTAGAAGAGAACAATTGTTAGGAAAATCTGTTCTATTCATGGGGAGAGTCTCTCATAACGAACACAGAGTAAAGGCAAGGAAAGCTCCATTGTTCAGCAATCATACTCCATATTCTATCATTTGTTCTTTTTACAATTTAGCATTAGATTTGGGGAAGTAAATTTTGCTTTACTTCCCTCCTACAATTAATTTGTATTTGTATGTAGGAAACTACCTTCCCTATCTTGAAGATGCT